AAAAGGGCAGACCTAATGTGGTCGGTAGCATCAGGCCTGCCACTTTGAACGACCTCCGCCAAAGCACAAAAAATGAACTCACGACCAAAACAATTTCATAAACCCAATCATTGACAAGGAAGGGCAGTCACTCACACACCCTAATATCACGTGGAATTGAGCCCTTACCCAAATCCGTTACAACCTTGTCACAAATTAAGCCATTAATTCCAAAGAAATAACAAAACAATTAACGACTCGGAGATACCAACAGAATAACCCTATAGGTTTATCATCAATCTCTCCTCATAAAAGTGTCGATTCTCTCTCTCTCTCTCTCTCTCTCTCTCTCTCTCTCTCTCTCTCTCTCTCTCTCTCTCTCTCTCTCTCTTCTTTTGTGTGTGTGTGTGTGTGTGTGATGTGTGTGTGTGTGTATGTGTGTGTGTGTGTGTGTGTGTGTGTGTGTGTGTGTGTGTGTGAGGTCATCAAAAGAAGCCGACCTAATGTGGGTGGTAGCATCAGGCCCGCCACTTTGAACGACCTCCACCAAAGCACAAAAATGAACTCACAACCACAACAATTTCACAAACCCAATCATTGATAAGGATTCGGAAGAGCAGTCACTCACATGAGTACCCTCTCTCTCTCTCTCTCTCTCTCTCTCTCTCTCTCTCTCTCTCTCTCTCTCTCTCTCTCTCTCTCTCTCTCTCTCTCTCTCACGAATGCAAGTATATTGCAGAAGAACCATAAACACTTGGCAAAAATCGATCAGTAGAAGAAGCCGAAGTCTCAGTGCTGTATCTTAATGCTCCATGTGGCAAAGTTCGGATGATGCCGGCCGCCAGTCAGGACTATGGGCCTCGACGCACCACAGTCGAAAGGCAAAAAACTTCGACGGCTGTCAGAACAAATTCGATAGCCTCCATTCGACAGTTTGCCACCCTTTCGCCACACAACACTGTAGAGTGCACGCACTTGTGAAAGAAAGATGGAAAAAGACGAACGCGCCTGAGGGTGCGACAAGCATCAGTCCATCCCGACCTAACCCCACTCACCAAATTTCGAACGGAAGTCGACGGTGAAGCCGAGGACTGTTGAAAGCATGGAAGTAGCAGGCTGGGGATTCAACAACTTTCGACAGGCAGTGTCGAGGAACAGTCTTTGACAATTGTAGAATTTTCTTCCCGTCTCAGACTTTGACAGCCTGTGTGGCAAAGAGAAACTGTCGAAAATCGCATTTTCGACAGTGGTGCGGCGAGGCCCTATGTTCTCGCCGCTGCAAAAGGTCACACGGCCCCTTCACCAACAGCAGATTAACTTGTCCCTCGTCGCTCACCAACGAAGACTGGCGCAACAGCAGTATACTCGTGAAGGCTCGATATCTAAGACCAGCGGCAAATGCCCTGACCTGGTTGCAATTCCGATACAAGGGAGGTGTGGGAAGGGAGTCACCCATGCTTGCCAGCTTGGCAAGGAGGAAGGACCACACAGGCGGGATGCAACGGCGGTGTTCAAGCGCAGGGGCGTTGCCCTGCTCATGATACTCCAGGCGCCCGTGGTGTTAAAAATTAAGGGCCAGGTGCAACGCAGCACAGCGCTAGCGCAGTGGTTGGTGGTAGGTGGGGGAAATACAAAAAGCTATACGAGAAGGTAAAAACTTTTGTGGTTGGTGGTAGGCCCCTGGTAATTGGAATGCGAAGGGAGGGGAATTAAAAAAAAGCTATACGAAAAGGTAAAAACATTTGTGATTGGAGGAATCCCATACTGTGAAGCTTCAACATACATACTCGCTTGTGACAAGAGTGGGATTTGAACCCACGCCCTTTCGGACCAGTACCTGAAACTGGCGCCTTAGACCGCTCGGCCATCTTGTCGCATGGCAAGCAGCCCCCTTCCGATGCTTTCTGCGAGAAAACGACACTTCTGACGGCTACAACCCCCCACTAAACCGGGGGCGAGGTCCCACTAGCAAAGAGGGGACTGGATTGAACGCCTGAATCTGGGCCGCTGGTTCCACACTCAGGGCATGCTCACACCGGGACTTATTTATGAACGTAACTGCGGTCAGATGCATCCACGGCCGGCCGTAAACGCCGTCACATACATTGAACATACAGCAGCTCGGTTGTGAGTACACGCCGTCAGCCGAGCGAACTGAACCAGCAGCAGTAGTAGGCCGGCAGATCGCGGACGTTCGCTTGTGCGACGCTCCTGCTGTAGGGTGTCGTTCCCTTTCTTTTTTTTTTTCTTTTTTTTTTGTGTCGTTCCCTTTCACTGCGGCGTTCCACACCGGCGAACGTTTTGTTTTCCTCTTCCCTTTGCGTTCAGGCCGTAGCATCTCTACCGTCTGCACCCCCCCCCAAAAAACAACGAACGAAAAAAAAAAGAAAGAAAGGAAAAGAATCTCCACCGTCCACAGAAACAGAAAAAGAAAAAAAAAGAAAATCGACAAGAGAAAGAAAGAAAAAAAGAAAGAAAAGAGAAATTTCTCGCCGTCAATCAATTTGCGAAAATCTACGGTCCTTCTTTTTTTTTTGTTTTTTGTTTTACGGTCCTTTTTTCAGTTTTCAGTGATGGAACGACTACGTACTTGCAGCGGGTGTTGCGGTGGCGCGAGTGTCACGTCTGTCGTTTAGTGCCGGTCGGCATGGGCGGCATCGGCGGCATGGGCGGCATGGGCGGCATGGGCGTTATGGACGGTACGGGCGTGATGAGCGATGTCTGTGGGCGGGATGGGCGGCATGCGCGGCATGGGCGGCCGAGCGGGGCACGAAGGTCCGCGGAGCCCGCCAAGCATATTCTGAATCTGGAGCATGCTCTCGCACACAAGCTACTGTGGTATGTGGTAGGACAGAATGGAATCCGTTTTAGTCGCAATCTGAGCGTAAATCCAGCCAAATACATGCATCGAGGAAAGTCCGCGGAACCTGCCGCTGCACCGCCACTACCCGTACTCCTCGAAAATGTGACAATGGAAAGTGGCGGGTGTACTGAAAAAAAAAAATGGGCCAAAAAAAAGTGGCAGATGTACAGTTCCATTAAACGCGGAAAGATACTCGCCAGTTTTCAGAAAAATATTGTATTGGCGAGCAGTGGCGCGCAGTGGCGCGAGACCCCTCCTACTCTTATAGGGAGTGTGCTCCACTTCACTTCATTCCGTAAGCAGTGGATGCATATCCACTTCAGGTAGGGCCAGGTCCCACCGTTCATCCATAGAATCCACGAACCTGGACACAGCCGCGTCTACGAACATTCTTTCCAAGCATGAACATAGCGCTGCTGGGGCCTGACCCCTTACATCCGTCCAGAGCTAAGCTGGGTGTGCCACTCTGGACGTAGATTTTGCCACTCGACGGCCTGCGTGCGGAAAAAGTTGAGGCCAGACGACCGACCGTAGGACTTCCTACTACTTCTGGACTATCTGACTGACGAGAATGGACGTATCTGACCGTAATGACGTCCTCCTAAGTGTTGTGGTAGTCGGCCCTGAGTTCGGTGGGACAAAACAAAAAACAAAATGACCCCCTCCCGCAATTAAATAAATTACACATGAGACCCCTTTTTGTGGGGTCCGACTTCTATGTGCTATATTGCTGGGTGTCACGTCAGTGGTCGTGTCCGTGTCTGTTCTCTGACGCCGAATTTTGTGTCTGTGTCAGCAACGTCGCGGGCGTTTGTTTTCGTTTCTCAGTAGGACAGAAAGGCATCCTTCTAGACGCAATCTGGACGTACATCCAGCCAAATACATGCATCCTTGTAGGCAGAGGGACCCTCTCCCGCCTCATGCCTCACGCCTCACGACTTTCCCGCTCTACTCTACTCTATTCCCCCTCGCTCGCATCCCACCTTCTTCTCTCTCTCTGCCTACCTACCTGTCCCCCCTGGCCCCCCCCCCCTTCCCCCCCCCCCCCCCGCCCTCCCTCCCTCCCTCTCTTCTCTCGCTCTACTCTGCCTACACCTGTCCGCCCACCCCTTTTCCCTCGCCCGACATAAATAACACTGGGCGGGACTTCTGGCCCCGATTCGATTCTCGACTCCGGCGCGCGGGAAACAAGAACGAGATAGAAAACTGAGCAGCACAGGATTTTTCCTCAGAAGAAATATAGCATGGACGGAGGAAGCCAAAGGTGGCTCCCTCTCAGTCAATAGAGAGAGAGAGAGAGAGAGAGAGAGAGAGAGAGAGAGAGAGAGAGAACTGGTTGGTGGTGGTGAAGGTGAGGTGAGGGCTAAGCCTCCCACCTTATTAGGGGGAAGAGAGAAGACGCGCGCGCGTGCGCGAAAAGCTTGCCCGACAAACAAATACAGTAGTTAGAGAGAAGAGATCGATGCGCGAGGCAAAGTGCAATGGCCTCAGTTTCTTCTTCTATCGTGGTTTTGGCGGGAAAGCCATTTGCCTGGCTGGCTTCTTTGGAATCGCGCATTTCGTCGCGGGGTGAGCGCTTCTCCTACAACAGCAGCTGCCTCCGAGGACACAAAGGACGGCGGCGGCAAGCCCATCTTCTTCCTCTTTCTCCTACCCACCTCTCTGCCAATGTGTACAGTCTCTCTCTCTCTCCTTGATGTGCTCACCACCATAGCTCATGTGAAACCAGAGCTCGTGGCTTCTGAGCTACTGCTACTCTTACCACCTCCTCCTCCTCCTCCTCCTCCTCCTCCTCCTCCTCCTTCGTCTCTCCCTTTCTTTCCCACTCCGTCCTTGATATCCGCCATCATCGATCGATAGCCACTTCTCTTCGCTCTCCTTTTCTTCTTCTTCTTCTTCTTCGTTTTATTTCTCCACCTCCTCCTCCTAGAGCATTACGTCTTCTTCTTCTTCTTCTTCCTCCTCCTCCCAGAGCATTACATCTTCTTCCTCCTCCTCCTCCTCCTCCTCCTCCTCCTCCTAAAGAGTGTGGGATTGCTGCTGCCTGCTTCAAGACGAAGCCAAATTCGGATTTGCGCGATTTGAAGGGAATGCACGTCAAGCGTGCAGGGTTTGGACAGGGGAGCATAATAATACTCTTGGCGACTAGAGGGTGGGGGGGGGAGGGAGGAGAGAGAGGAAGGAAGAGTGGAGTAGACATCATCCTGTCAGAGGGAGCCAGGGGTTGGACTTCTGATTGGGATTGTCATCACGTCAGCCCGCGACGCCGTCTCGCACGAATGTAGTGGAGATATCATCACTGATGTTCTTCCCGAGCATTGAAGAGAGGAAGGGTGCAGCAGCGAGGAAAGGCATGCTAGAGGGAGGGAAAGGAGGAGGAGCAGCAGGAGGTTTAGGGAGAGAGGCGGAGAAGAAGCTGACGTGGAAGTAACATTAAGATCTGTACGGTATTTGCAGGCGTAACTGAGCGCTGGAACCTCAGTGGCGACCTCGAACGGTGGTGATATCAGCAAAGGCGACAAGCGATTGGTTGATTGATTGGTTTTTGACTGGTTGATTGATTGATTGATTGATTGGTTGCTGGAACGGATTCCTATCTTTCTCGATCGATCGACGAACTCTTTTTCCTGTGATGAACATCAGCACGTCTGTTTTTCTGTCCAGCATCCACCAGCCTTACTGAGTTGGACACACCTTTACCCTACCTATGCATCAACTAATCGACTCATAAAATTTTTAACGCCTTCTATCATCTATGTAGCTATCTATCTATCTATCTATCTATCTATCTATCTATCTATCATTTATCTATCTATCTATCTATCTATATACATATATATAGATATATATACCCCAATCGATCGATCGATGTCCTTTTCTTTTTCCGTGACGATTGCCAGAGGAGGAGAGGAGCACCGACCCGCGGGACTGTGATCGAGAGAGTGGCGACAAGACGGGGGCGTATATACAAATTAAGTCCCCCATTATCGGGGGTGATGATCATTACAGGGCGAGATTATCGGTCATTACTTTTTGCTTCGGTGATGATATCCGGAGGGATTAGCTATCTATCAGTTTTTTTGTCGGTGATGATAGCGGGAGGGAGCCGGGGTCCTCTGTGGAAGTGCCACGTGTCCTTCTCCGCTGGGTGAATCGGGGTCACGGAAGAGTAGGATCAAACACTGACCACAGTCATTTCTGCCGATATACATCCTTCCTCTCCCCTTTTTGCATGTATACCCTCGTCCGTTTACACCCACGTCCATCTATACCCTCTTCTGTGGAATTGGAACTGCCGCGTAGCGTGTCGTAAGTACCGCGTGTTCGTCGCCGCTGAGACGGTCGGGGTCGCTGCCGATATACCGTTTGAGTTTACTAAATCCTTTTCAAGTATCAAGACCAATCCCCTCCCCCTCCCCCTCCCCCTCGTTCTCCCCGGCGTGCGTTCACCCATAGCTTACGCGCCATAGCCTGCGAGAGCGCGAGCGACCGAGTGGGGCAGGAGGGCGATCGACCGGCGGGGAGAGGAGGTGTCTTGTGCATGTGGCCGGACATCTTGGCCACGTACGTGGGCGGGGTTAATCGGAAAAGAACAACGGGGATATTCTAGTCGAGAGCGAGAGGCGGGGAACGTGGAAGACGTGGAAGACGAAGCAGCGGAAAACGAAAGGGGGCTTTTTTTGGATTATCGGGTACGGTGTGTGCGTGTGTATGTGGGGGGGGGCGGGCGCAAGGGGGGGGACGCCGCGGGAGGGGAGGAGTGGGAGAGGGAGGAAGGAGGAAGGAGGACCGGTTCAACGAGAAGAAGAAGACTGTGGTAGAAGCAGAGACGCGGAGGCGGCTATGGGCGGTACGGATTACGTTGTGGGAATGGCAAAGAAATCCATCTTCTCCGATGGCGGGAGTCGGCGGGATCCATGCGTGATATTGGAGATCGACTCGGAATCGTCGATGGTAGAACGGCCACGTGTCCTTTCTGTACTGGCCACATTGCTGGAGCGGCTGGTCGCGCGCAATGAGAGACACGTGATGACCACTGCCACCACGCCCTACGCATCCCCTTGTCGCGGCAAATTGACCGTCTTTCACGGCCTTCGTGCCCCATCCATCACCATCGACAAGTACTTGGAACGAATCTTCAAGTATGCTAATTGTTCTCCGGCTTGTTTCGTCGTGGCTTACGTCTACATCGACCGATTGATTCAGCGCCAACCAGAGCTTCCCATCACTTCCCTGAACGTTCACCGCCTTCTCGTCACTGCTGTCATGGTCGCCGCCAAGTTCCTCGACGACGTGTACTTCAACAACGGCTACTACGCCAAGGTAGGCGGAGTCACCACGGCGGAGATGAATCGGTTGGAACTGGAGTTTCTGTTCCGTTTGGATTTTCGACTGCACGTGACCACGGGAGTGTTTGAACACTATAGTTCGCATCTAGAGAAGGAATTGATTTTGTCGGGAGGTCACAAGATGGACCGCCCGCTGATGTCGCCTCTTCGACCTTCGCTGGAGCCGTCGGCTACCGATTTGAAGGTATCGAAGGCCAAGACTCTCGGCCGTGTCAGTGGGATGATCAAATCGGTCAATGGCGCGCAACAGTGTGTAAGTGACATTATCAAGTCGACAACCGCTGCCTCGCAACGCGGCTACGAGCTGCCGCATGCTACGCCTGGACGATGATTACACTGGCGGGACT